TAATTTTCATAGTGCCTGTTGTCTGCTGCTCTGCTTCACATGAGCACCCAGATGTAATACACAGCCCTGCATCACTGTGTAACAAAGCAATGGAACAGCCACCAGCTGGCACTAGTAGGCCAACACAAGCCCACCACACATCTGTGTAAATGACCACTATGAAAAGCATCCAATTTGTTATAGTGTATTGAAATATAATAAACCATACCAAATTAATATAAAATACAGATACATTACATTTTTTTACATGTTTGTCCTGCAACTAAACCTATTTCACAGTACATTTCTTAAAAGTAAAAACGATTAATTTTTGATTCAATTTTTTAGAGAGAGACAGAGATACTGTATAGAGATCATATAGACTTTCAGGAATAATTGTCTGTAGAATCGATCATCTCCACCATCTCCCCCCCTTCTGCTTCTTTCTTCCTCGCCTGCTTCTTTTCAGCACGACGGACAGCGACCTGCAGCGAGGAACTGCGTTTCCATGGCGACGTGTCCTCTGTTCACTGGAGCTCTGCATCCGCCTGTAATTTAATATTCCAACACCCCCCCCACTCCGCTCCCCACCCTTCCCACAGTGCGGCATTCACATTTTGTAGGCTTAAAAAAAAAATAAAATAAAATAAACAGCTGGATATTCCCGCCATATTTGTGTTCTTTAAAAAAAAAAAGGAAAAGAAACAAAAATGGGTGCTGTGGGATGGAATCAGTGCTGCTGCATGAGTGAGTTTAAATAGGTGGAGAGATGGGAGGAGGTGCGGCAGAATGCGGCAGTGCTTGTGCACGCGCACGTACACGCTTGACCCACATTCTGCGCCAATACGTAACAGATGCAGGTGGGAGGGGTGGGTGCTGAGACACGAGGATTTATGTAGGTCACCTTGTTTCTTGTTTGTTTCTTTTTTTTTCCTTTTTTTTTCTTCTCAGTTTTTATTGCAGTGAGAAATATATTAGGGCTGTTTCAAACAAGGGGCAACCTTACAAATAAACTTGGTTTACCATATTTAAGGGCGTTCACCATCACTGCACTTACAGATTTGATCCATGGGGTGCCGCTGTTCACTTCTACCAGGGATGAAAACTGTGGGAGTGTGCTGAACACACTGCACAGTTTTACACAGAAACAGCAAATGCAAATTATTTTGAGCAATATCACTGTAAAAACTGTTAAATAATAAAAAATAACTTTCCCCAAAAATATTTTAATTGATGCTTTTTTAAACAACTTAAAAATCTATGTATGTCCAATTTGGCTATAACCAATATAATAAACATATCACAAATGTATATATGTATGTATATATTTTTTTCATGTAGTAGCAAGCAAATCATTGTGAAGCAAGTTCAGTC